AAATTTGAAAATATTGCATATGAAATGGAACAAAGAAGTTAATCAGATACCAAGGACTCAAGTAGAAAGAAAATGTTTTGAGAATGATTATGGCAACAAATGTACAAATGTGCTTGACACAATGGATGGATGGATGTAATAAAATGATTTTTTTAAAAGAAGTTAATCAGAGAAATATAGTCAGACTTCCACTCATTCTTGAAACAATAGAATCCAATATATGAATTCTGATTTTTAAATTCCTGGCTTTGAATTCTGGCTCTTTCACCCAGTAGCTTTGTGGCTTTGAGAAAGTTCATTGAAGTCTCGCACTGAACCACAGTTTTCTCATGTAAAATGGTAATCAACAGTACTGGACCTAAATGTCTGTAGGTTTTGCATGTGAAGATTAAAGATATGTATATGAGGTGCCTAGAATATAGTAGGTGCTCACCAAAGAGTTCCTGGGGCTTTGGCGATGAGTAACGCATCTATTCAATTACCAGAGGCATCGTTAAACCTTTAACTCATCATTTTCCCTCATCCTCCACATTCACACGGAGCCTCGGTGCCGTTTCTTCCCTCCTAAGTAGCTCTTGGATCCATCTTCTTCAGTACCTCCATGACTTGAGCTCAGGCCACCAACTTCTCTCACCTGAATTATCGTTATGGGCTCCCAATAGGCCCTACTTCCTTAAGCTACTCTACACACTAGCTGCCACTGCGATCTTTCTCAATCATAACAAATGATACAGAAGCTCCCACTTCTTCCAGAAAAAGTAACACGTTTACTAGCATGGTTTTCAAGGGTTTTGCCTCATGAGATGGACGATGTATTAGTTTCCTACTGCTGCTGTGAAAACAAATGTTCACACATGTAGCAGCTTAAAACAATACCAATGTGTTAGCTCGCAGATCGGGTCAGAAACCCAGTACAGTGTGGCTGGGTTCTCTGCCCAGGTTCTTACAAGTCTTAGTTATCATCTGGAGGCTTAGGAAAAATCTGCCTCCAAGCTCTTGTCAGTGGCAGAATACAGTTCCTTGTGACCAGAGTCCTTAGTTTCTTACTAGCTGTCAGCCAGAGACTGCACTTGGGTCTCTACACCCCTCCCAGGTGTCTTCTCCCATTCCCAGGCCAATAACAGGATATCAAATCCGTGCACGTCAAACTTCTCTGATTTCCTCTTGTGACTAGGGAAGGCCTAGTGAGATAATCTATCTTAAGGCCAATGTATTAGTAACATTAATTAAACTCAATCCTCACTGCCATCAGGTTGATGCTAACTCATAATGACCCTATAGGACAGAGTAGAACTGCCTCTGTGAGTTTCTGAGACTGAGACTCTTTACAGAAGTGAAAAACCCAGTCTTTCTCCCACCGATCAGCTGGTGGTTTAGAACTACTGACCTTGAAGTTCGCAGCCCAAGCATAATGACTGCACCACCAGGGATCTTTAGTACATTAATTACATTTGAAAATCTCTTCTGCCATGAAAGGTAACAGTCACAGGAGAGGTATTTCATCCAATGTGATTTTACAAAGTTGAGGTTTATTGGAATTTTAGAATTCTGCCTATCGCAGGTAGGGAAGCCAGAGAAAGATTCTCTGAGAAATTTGCTGCCTGGGATAAGAACGGAGTTGGAGATAATGCAGTTAAGAAGAAAAGGAGAACTTTCCAGAAAGTGGTAACAGCATGTGCAAAGACCAAGTCGCTGAAAGAATTAAAGCAAATAAAACAGACCTTTAAAAATAGTCCTGGTGACACAGAGGGTTACACGTTGAGTGGCTAACCACAGGTTCACAGTTCAAATCCACTAGTTCCTCTGCAGTAGAAAGGTGTGGCTTTCCACTCCACAAACAGTTACAGACTTGGAAATCCACAGGGAGTCTGTTCTGTGCTATAGGAGTCACTGTGAGTCAGAATCCACTTGGTGGCAGTGAATTTGGTTTGGGTGTTTGAAAAATGGACTAACTGAATCCAGCATATGTATCATCAGAGAGCACAGGCATCGGTGCCTGAAGTGCAGGTGGAGAGGCAGGTAGGAGGCAAGCCGCAGACTTTGTAGATCTTGTTCAAAGGGTTGCTTACAGATAAGTAGACTAATCAGATTTCCACTCCGAAACATCACACGGGGCATAAGGAGAGGCAGCTGTAAGGAGGCATCGGTAGATGTGGTAGGTCATTTGCACTAGAAGAGTAGTGCTTGAATTTCAAGATGCCTGATTGACCGAAAAAAGGCCATAAAAGAATGTAGGTAGGAGATGGGGATAGAAAAATATACTGTACCTACTTACATACTCACACAAACATATGTAGTGTATAACAAAAATAAGGAAAAATACTCCAAAACAATCGCAATACGCATTTCTGCAACTGGTCATGTGGTCACAGTTGGTATTTCTAACTACCTTTCCCCACTACCCATGCCACGTCCCCTCTGCCTTCAGCACACTTTCAGGGGCCTGGCTCTTTTCCTGGTGGCATGCTTTCACAGGGACTTCCTGAAGGAAATGGCCCAGTGGTTTAAAAACCCAAACTATCAAAACCGTGAAGCCCATTGCCATCAGATTGATTAGGACTCATAGAGACCCTAGACGGGGTTTCTGAGACTGTACATCTTGATAGGAGCAGACAGCCTTAACACGCTCCTGTGGAACAGGCGGTGGGTTTGAACTGCTGACCGGAATGACTGATTCAGGAACATGTCGTGGGTAAAATGGACAGGACATGGTGATGGATTGAGTATGGAATGATGCAGTTGGCTTTCACAGGACACAGGCACCCTGGCAAAGATGCTTATTAAGGCGAGCCCTTGGAATCAACACCAGGAGGGGAAACAGCAGACTCGGCAACGGGAGAAGCTGCGCAGGGATTCCATCTCTACGGAGGCCTCCGGCAACTCCACGAGGAGCAGAGCTTTCTTTCAGAGTTGTTGTCCTTTGGCACAAGAGCTGAAACTTTATCCTTCTGCATGGAGCCTACACTGGATGTGGGATGCCCCAGAAAGTGACCATCACCTCTCTTCCGCTTGGGTATGAAGCTGAGAGAGAAATCCAGTTTAAAATGAGAATGAATCCTTTATTTGTGAAGGGCCCTGAGCTCTGCATTACAGCTTTCACCATTGGGATGAAGCAGCAGAGGGGAGTAAGGCCTTCAGGAAGACCCCTAAATTTCTGACTTGTGCAACCTGGTGGATGCATTTATAACATATATTTCAGTCAATCATCCCCCCCCAACACACACACACACACACACACATGATTGGGAACTACTGGAGCACAGATGGTATTAGACAGCAAATGTGCAGCCCTATACCTGGCACACAGTTTGCTGAATAAGTGAACGCCTGCCCACAGCTCCGATTTCCAGAGCTCACTGCAGCATTCCCTTGGCTCCCCCAGCCTTCGCCCCCTCCCTCCATCTAATGTGGGAAAAGTCCAGCAGGTTATCTGCGGCCCCACCTGGGCTGGTGCTGAACAAACAGCAAAGCAGGCTTCTGTGATGGGCAGGCAAGCAGTGCCAGGAGGAAGGAAAGAGAGAGCAGCTGAGGACATCCCCACCCGAGCCATGCTGCACCCCTCCCTGAATGGTCCAGGGGAGAAACTTTGCAACGGCTGGATCCGGTCCTCTGAAGTCCCCAGAAACCCCAAACCCATCCCCACTCCAGTCAGCTCCTGGACTGGCACCCTTACTTATTAAAGTTACTACTGGCAACCAGAGGATAGAAGTTCAGGTCATACGGGAGCGTGTTAGGAATAGAGGAAGGATGGAGAACAGGCAGAGCTGAACTATTACGAGATGCCATTTCTGCCTCAAGAAGCTGAACCCACCTCATCAGACACCCCCACCCCACCCCACCCCTACACACTCCCCCTTCTGCTTTGTTTCCTGCTGCCCCTCAGTGACCTAGCCCCCTCAGGTTCCTTCTCGTGGGAACC